AAGAAGTGGTTCTTTACTCAATGATTTTAGGTTTTAGTTCACCGGGTCATCTGTTTTAAATAAAAAGTATGTGAAAAAAAACATCGCCCTCTACTTGTCAAAGTTGCAAACTCAGCCTTTGTATTAAAGATACCTGTAATATCAACTCACTTATTTCTACCAACTGACAGATGTCGAACTTTGAAATTACTAAATAATTAATCATTTTTAACAAATTCTAGTATAAATAAATCATCAAAATGGATTTCCTTAAAAGCATATTCGACCAAATGTTTGGTTTCAGGTAATTATATTAATATTAATCAAAAATTTCAAAATATCGATTTTCCAATGACCTTGGGAATTTTTTATGCTAATAAAAGCATTTCTCGCTGTTGTTTCATAGAATTTCTATCGTCATTGCTAATCTACTTAAATCATTGTATTTAAAACTGAGGTAGGTAAGTAAATAATGCTTAAAAATAACGCGTGATTCTTGTTTTCAAGTATTTTAACCACAATCTTATCTTTAATGTTATCTCTACATGTTCACCATTCAGTCTGATTATTGTCTTGAATTCCAGAACATCAAAACCAGTAAAAATGAGCGGGGAAAAGAAAGACTACGTTCAAAGTGTTATTAAAAGCGACAAGATCGTAATATTCTCAAAATCCTACTGCCCCTACTGCACAATGGCCAAGGAAGTAAGTAAATCGTACAACCAAATAGATAATTTTAATAACCTTGCATTACATAGGTATTCGACAAAATAAAGGAGAAATACACCCTCATAGAACTTGATGAGAGGGACGATGGCGATGAAATCCAAGGAATACTGGGTGACTTAACCGGGGCAAGAACTGTAAGTTTCATATTTTTGAAGATTTTAAAGTATTGCATAGTAACTTTTAGGTCCCAAGGGTTTTTGTTAAAGGAGACTGCCTGGGAGGTGGTTCTGATGTTAAAGCCTTACTGGAAAAAGGAGAATTACAGAAAATTGTTTCATAAGTATTAAATATGAGATGCCGTTCCTTAATTAATGTTAAAGCTTTTTTATTGAGACTCTTTTAATAAATTTGTTTGATTTTAACCTTTTTTTTTAATAAACTTACCTTGATACAGGTTTTGATTATATTTGTTCTTCATATTTGTCCAATAAACGTTTTTTAATCACAAATACAATATTTTATACGCTGTGTCTAGTCTCACGCTAGCGTGAACGCAATTTTATTCTTATTCTCACGCTAACGTGAACGCAATTTAATTTTTATTCTCACGCTAACGTCAAAATAATTTTAATTTTATTCTCACGTTAACTTCGTATAGGTATATACGGGTGAATCTCTGCAAATTAGACAATTTATATTAAAATTTTGGCAATTATATAAATCATTACAGTTAAGAAGTTGTTGTTGCTAGATTAGTCCAATAGCATAAAATAAATAAAAACATAGTAATTTCACGATGATTTGACGGTTACTTTCCAATTTTTTTAAAATAATTTCCTATTTTAAAAATGAGGGAGTGATAGTAGGTGTGAGGGAGTGACAGTTTAAAAGGTTTGACAAAAGAAAAGTGGTTTTTGAACATAATACGGCATTTATTAGAGAAAAATACAAAAACCATGAAGAACTTTTTTTGCTTTTTTATAAAGAAAGTTAACTTAATAAATTCAGTTATACTCTCAAACTCGTCGGGTGGTAATGAATGGATTATGAGGCCTGTCAGAGCAAAGTCAACAATCTCCCATCAGACTAAAACTGAGTAAATTGATATAATTGATTTTGGTATTTTAAATTCTAGATTTGTAATTTTTTTATATATTATATTGAAATATTGTTGTTGTTAGTCTAGTAGCCAACTACAAGGTCTCCATGATGCATAGTATAGGTAAAATCTATAATTATAAATTGAAGATTGCTGACTTTGATATGAATTGCTGGAGATTGCTCATTTTGTTGTAAACGTTTAGAGAGATTTAGAAAAATAAACAAAAAATAATTGTTTTTTTATTCTTTTAATGGGTATAAAATTTAACTATAAAATCAATGTGGGAAAATTCTGAACTGGACCACATAAATCTGGAGTTTCTTTTAAATCTGGGACCAGGTTGCCTCATACAAAAAAGTTTTTATAGTACAACAACTTATCATCTTCTTCCCACTTTGCCCCGTAAAAGGTTTTAACATTATCAGCCTTTTCTTGCTTTCCCTTTACGTATTATTATGCTATAATAGCACAAAATAAACAAGACAACTTTTTTTATAATTCTTAAAAAAATAAAACGTATATATACCTATTTTAAATATATTTTTAAGTGCTATTTACTGCAATAGAACTTAACAGTATGTACCAGTAATAAAACACAAAATTAAATCTCTAAAATACGTTATAACATCAAATGTTAGGATATCAGGTGACACAAATTACTAATTTCTAATGGTGGAATTGGAGATTGTATACTTTGCTGCAAATCTATCAGTGGAGATTGTCGACTTTGCACTAAATTTCATTTTTAAAATAGGATTTTAGGCAGGATTTAGCTCCTTTTGCAACATGCATGTGCACATTAATTTTATCATCTTATAGATAATTAGTTGAAGTACAGTCTCCGCCAAAAATCTAATTTTTGATCAAAAGTTGAGATTGTCGGTTTTGCTATGACAGGCCTCATATGATAGTAGTTCTGGAATTGCATTCATAACAGATAAAATGCTCTCAACATTAATAATATTTGAATCTTTTTTATTGAGCCAGGGGAATCTGTTAGGACCAATAACTTTCATAAAATTTACTCTCATTTTTTCTGTCGGTTCCTTATTTTCAATTATTCCCGGTATCTATGGTGGTTTGTACACAACAGCTACTACTGCATTTTGGATGGGGATTGGTGAAGGTGGAGGAGAATTATCTATCAGGATTTGATTGAGATTTTTCTGATCCCTTTTGTTTTTTCTGTAATTTTCCTTTTTAATTTGTCTATGTTCTCTACTGGTCATATTATCTACCAATTTTGCTGCAAGTTTTCCTTGTTCACGTTTTTTTCCTGTATTATAGTTTTTCTTCTTCCCACATTTCTGCTAATTTTTCGGGATTATTTTTCATTTCTTCTCTTCTCTTTTTGTCATATTCCTTTTTGCGTAGTTTTGCTTCCTCCTTGCTACGTGCCATTTACTACAACAAAACATAACAAATTAAAAAGTATTATTAATCACTCCCTCACTTCAGTTATCACTACCTCACTTGTAAAATTATGAGGGAGTGACTGGTGAGGGAGTGACGAAAATAAAATAAAATTGGCAACTCTGTAACACCGGTTAGAATATTGAGGTTATATTTGCGACAGTAATAATACACCTAAATACATCTTAATTACTGAAATAATTAAACTTGTAATAATTACCTGGTTTGAAATATTCACAGTAAGGGAGTGACACTACAAAAAAACTTTTGCTAATTTTTATTTATTTATACAATGCTGTAATTTTTAAAAACACAGGTGAGCAGATGTTTTCACTTGATATCAACAGGCCAACTGGTTTCGGCACTGTTGCCAAATAAGTTTTAAAAAAGTTTACACCACAATAGATTTTTCGCGGGAAAACAGAAATATGTGAAGGAGTGAACATTACTTATTGGGACTAAATAAATATAATAATAGGTAGTCGTAATTTATTTATTACTTAACTTCTGACAAGGTTTGCACAATCCCTGGATAATGCTCCGTATTCTTTCCTAAATAAATACTTATCTAAATAAAATTAGGTCTAAAAAATTTGGTTTTAAGAAAAAATTACCAAGTTGGGACATAGTGAGGGAGTGATATATGACACTTAAAAAAAGTATGATTCCGCCTATGATGCAAGGTATTTACATCATTTGATTTTTTTAGCTTCTATATCTTATGTACTAAGCCCTGCATAAAAATATTTCCAGCTAACCTTATTTCAAATTCAAAAAATATCTCAGACGGTAAATTGTTTGATTTGCAGAGATTTACCCATACACTGTTTAAAATATCTGTGGTGTAAAGACTAATCCTAAATTGGTGTCAAAATCCAACACCATGAATTATGGTTGAAAATTAACACCAAAACGGTCCATGTTGTAAATGACCGATTAATTCCTGTAGAAACCAATTGGTTGGTATCAATGGGTCTGAATTGGACTTACTGGATTTAATTGGGCGCGATATAAAACAGTAATTGGTTTTTACTGGTATTTTCCATGATGGAAAATACCAGTTAGTATTCTAATGGTTTTTATTGGTTTCAATTGGATAAAGCTACCTATAGGTAATTTCCAATTGAATTCAATTGGGCATTCCCAGTGTAAGATTCGAAAAATCTGCTAATTGGTTATTCCCAATAAAATACAAATATCGCAAGAGGGCTCTCGTGTAGCTGCGCAAAATCAACGAGGTTGAGACGCCATCATAAAGAAAAAACAACAAGTCTTTGGACGCCATTTATTAGCGGTTTATGTTATTAGTCGATTTCAGTCTTAAGTGCCTAGTGTTAGTAGTACTTATATATTAAAAAAATGTTTATATGTGTAAGATTAAGGGATTTAGGCTATAGTAAGTTATATGTATTAATACATACATATATCACAAAGAAAATAATAAAGAAATAAAATTACTCAGTAACAATAAATTTTTTGTCTGGCTTTTACCCGGTTATCCTTCTGGGATCTAAAATTATTTTTGAATGAAAAATAAACTGGTAGGTATTTTCTAATCCAAATTTTAAAAAATTAATTGGTTTAAATTGGTTGGAATGGGTTTGGTGCTATGAATTACCAATTCATTCCATGTGCATTTCTATTGGATTTAGCCAATAGAGACAAGCTTAGGCATGGATTGGTATTTTCCAATTCAAGCCGCTGACTTCATTGGAAATTACCAATAGGAATTCAACTGGAATGAATTGGTGATTTATAGCTCCAAAACACATTTCAAACCAATTCAAACCAATTACTTATTTTTTATTGGATTCTATTGGTATTTTCCAATTCAAGCCGCTAACTTCATTGGAAATTACCAATAGGAATTCAACTGGAATGAATTGGTGATTCATAGCGCCAAAACACATTTCAAACCAATTAATTATTTTTTATTGGTTTCTATTGGTCATTTACAATAGGGAGCAGTGTCCATCTTATCAATCTCTTGAGGATTACAACTCACAAAACTCATATTAAAGGTATTGTTATCAAGCGTTTGGTTTAAGCTGTCTGGGAGAAAAGTTGCTTGCTCAGTATCCCTCTCAATATTTTCTTTCTTAATGTCATTAATTTTAGAAAAAACCAGTTTATTGCTCATATTTGTAATATTGTCCTCTTTAGTTGCATTCCCTTTAAGTTCATTTTCATTTTGCTTTGTTGTATTTTCTCCATGCTGCTGACTTAAAGGTGCAATTGGGGTTACACATACTTCAATGCCCTGCCTCCATAAATTTTCTATTTCTTTAAGTGTATTGACACGAGTAAAAAATTCATTATCAGATGCACACACCATCAAATTTGTTAAAGAAGAATTTACTGATAAGGCTACCTTTCGTTTTTCAGTTAATGATATATTCGCTTTCCGTTTACAAACTTGAATGTTTTTTTTGTTGCCCTTTACCTTCACAAATGACAACAATTTTTCTTGTTCAGAACAGTTGAGTTTTCTATTTTGAGGCAGGAGCTTATAGGCTTTCTAAAAAAATTAAAATTAGATTTATGATTTAGGGAATTAGTGAATTGAAACCTCTGGTGCTTCACTATGAAGATGATCTTCACTGAAACTTTTAATTTCAAGTTTTGTTCCATCTGATGATGCACGTATTTTAAGAAATGCCTGACATGGTTGTTCAAACCTTAATGTTCTAAAAATTAAATTTTAGCAGTTATGACATGATTGCATTATTTACCTACTTTTTTTTTCGTAGCCCTTTACTTTTGGAAGAGAATTTTTGCCCTCCACGGATGCAGGCATAGGTTATTTCATAGTAGATAAGTTCCACTTTAATAACCCTTTTGATACCTTGGCTTGCCTCTATTTTTCGACTACTTCTCTTCCAAAAAGCTTGTTTGGTTTTAGCTCCATAATCACGCATAAACTTACACAGTTCTTCATATGAAATGAACGATTTTCCAATAGTTAGTTTTAACTCATCATTATTGTTGTTTTTGGCCATGGCAATACATTTTACGTACACTTGTAACAGGGCAGATTTCACAAATCTGCCAACGTTTAAAAAACCTCAAAACCGCGAAAATTAGATTCACAGAACAAATTAGATTCTTGAAAGAATCTTAGGTTATGTTACCTTTAGTGACGTCACCGCGTGAGAATAAGCACAGCGTATTTTATACGAAGTGACTAGGTGCACGTTAGAGTGCCTGCAATTTATTTTTTACGGGCACGCTAGTGACGTAATAGATAAAAAACGTCATCACTGCCGTGCCGGTTAATTTAAAATTGGCGGCACAACAATAATAATAAATTGTACCTGTATACATGTTAAGGGCACGTTAGTTACGTCATAAAACCAAACCAACCCCAACTAAAATGGGCAAATTTATGTTACGATAAAAATAAAACACTTTTTAACAAAGAAACAACAAATTTATGAAATAAAAAAATAAAAAGAGTCCGACAACTTCTAGTAGATTCTATGTTAAGATATAACCAAAACAAACCAACAAACCCAACCCAACCGAACACTTTTTAACATAAAAGCAACAAATTTATGAAATAAAAAAATAAAAATTTTCGACAACTTAAATATTATAAGTTCGGGGAACAAAACCGGATTATTATTATGACGTAACTAACGTGCCTGAAACATTTTGAATCGGGGCACGCTATCTATTACGTCACTAGCGTGCCCGTCAAAAATAAATTGCAGGAACTCTAACGTGCACCTAGTCACTTCGTATTTTATAATACATATTAGGTTATGTTAAGCCAATATGCAGGGTTGGGTATCTACCTACATTTTTGTTTTCGACATGTAGAAAACCTTTTTCGACGTTTTCGACGGTAGAAAACGTAAAAAAGTAGAATACTGTCAAATATCAAAAAATGTGAGGTTATGCAAGTTTGTTGTTTATTATGATTTGTTAAATGTTGTGAAAAATCAGACACCTACCATAAATTTGAAGTTATTTGGAGTTTTTTAACATTATTATGGTGGGAAAAAAAGGGCCACGTTTGGTTGGGAGACCCCAACATAATTTTTGGCATGAGGGCAAATTTTGATCAATTATAGAGAAGTGGAAGGAGAAGGTCGAATAAGGTAATTTACGTAGGTAGAAAACCCTATAGGTTTTCGACGCAAGTCGAAAACAAGTTTTCTACCCTTTTCTACCAAGGTAAATTACCTAAGGTTTTCTACTGACCCAACCCTGCCAATATGAGAACAGCTGTCAAAAGTGTCATGACAACTACTACTACTACCAACATTAAGAAAAATATACTCGTATAATACCAACTTAAAATCAAATATGTCAATTTGACACCAGAGTTCAAATTAAAATGAACTTTAGGTAAGAAAAAATAAAAATTCTTAATGGTAGTGTTCAATGAAGTAACAAAACCTCAAAAACAAAATGAACTGACCAAAGAAGAAGACCCAAATTTAAAACAAATAGAACAACTTGTTAATGATATGATTAAAAGCGACAAAATTGTGATATTTTCCAAATCGTACTGCCCATATAGTCAAATGGCAAAAATGGTAAAATAACTTATAAAAAAAATTTCATTAATACAATTTACTATATACAGGCATTTGATGAGATAAATCAAAGTTATACCACCATAGAGCTGAATTTAAGAGATGATATGATGGAAATTCAGTTATTTTTGGAAAGCATCACTGGAGCCAGAACTGTATTTTTTCTATGCTGTACTGTCTGTCCACTCTAAGTTGGCTGAACTAAGGAATTTTGTTGTTTATATATTAAAGAATTGTCGTACTGTGTGCTTTTAAAACAGATTTTATATTATAAATAATACTAGTATATAATATGTACTAGTATTATTTATAATGTAAAATCTGTTTTAAAAGCACACAGTACGACAATTCTTTAATATCTAAACTACAAAATTCCTTAGTTCCGCCAACTTAGAATGGACAGACAGTACTTATCTATGACTTAAAAGCCAATTTTAGGTACCAAGAGTTTTTATAAATGGTACTTTTATTGGTGGAGGGTCTGATATCCAGTATATTCACCATAAAGGGATGCTACAACTACTTTGTGATAAAACCATAGACAAAGACTCTATAGATTTACCGAAAAACCAGGGTCCTGTTCTTGAATGTGCTTGGGTTCCTAAAAACAAAAAACCTGTGGATTTATCCAATGAAAAGAGGTCCAAAGATGCATTAAAAGACGTGGAATCTACTGAAAAATCCATTGACAAGGTGACTCCCAGATAGCACAAGATGTCCTGAGGACATCCGGTTTAAATCCTTTACAGACGGTCGCGACCAGAAAACCGATGGACGTCCTGAGGCCTAGGCCTATGGACGTCCTAAGGCCTAGGCCGATGGACATCCTGTGTCCATCGGTTTTTTGCCTGCGACAATAGTTGAAGATACAATTACTTAAGTTGATATATCACCCTTTTATAAAGGCCTTTATAAAGGGTGATATATCAACTTGTATCTTCAACTATTGTCGCAGGCAAAAAACCGATGGACGTACTCAGGATGTCCATCGGCCTAGGCCTTAGGACGTCCATAGGCCTAGGCCTCAGGACGTCCATCGGTTTTCTGGTCGCGACCCGGGTCTAAGTGAAAAAAAATTACACCTTGTTTTTTATTAAAAATACTCCTTAATCAAGCACGATAAAAGATTTAAAAAAAAAGTTGTCAATTTTTTTTCACTTATATGTGTCTTTAGTTGTCAAGTATTTTTAGCAATTTCAATTTTCCATATCTCTAACTTATTTAAAAATATCTTGTAAAATTAATTAATTCATTGCATTAAAAATATCATTACAAATTTTAAAAAATTATTTTTAATATATATTATATAATATAAAAATATAATATACCTAATATATATAATATATATATTAGGTATATTATATTTTTAATTTGTTGAATAAAAAATATCACATTGGCCAAATTAATAATTTGAATTAATAATATTATATGAGAAATGTATAATACGAATTAAAAATACCATTGGAGAAATTTCTCCACTTTAACATTTAAATTATTTAATTTGTCCTATAATATTTTTAATGCAATAAATTGTAAGAGTTTATTTCAAATTTACCGCCAAATAAACAGTTGGTATTGGAAGTAACCAGTTTAGTGACTTTAAGTTGGCAGTCTGAAATCCGCCATGTTGGCATTGTTCATAAAACAGCGTGTGCTGTTTTTAGTTAGCTCCCTGTTTAGTTAAATTTCTATGTATTTAAATATATGATATACCTAAGTGAAAAACAACTTTTATTATATATATATATATATTAACAAAACACTTGTTAACACTGTATTACATTTCCCTATTATAATAAAACTATGTCCTAATTCGGTCCTCATATAACCCGAATTGGACAGCTTGGGGTCAAATACGGACGTCCTGAGGACATCTGAAACAGTCTATTTCGGAAGTCTGTGGACGTACTACGAACGTACTTTTGCAGACCCCGGACATCCTGAGGACGTTCGGGTTGTCCTGGGTGGAAGTCCTACGAACGTCCTACGAACGTACTTGTGCTATCTGGGCTAAGGATAAAGAACCTAAAGATACACTAAAAACTAGAAATTCTACTGATAAATCAAAAAATGGGGAGTCTAGTAGCAAAACCATCGAGTCCAAGGATAAATCCATTGAAAAAGATGTTTTAAAAAACGCAGAATCCATTGAGAAGGATATAAAACCTAAATATACATCCAAAACTAAGAATTCAAAAAATGAGGGCTCCACTAGCAAAACCAACGAGTCCAAAGATAAATCTAAACACTAGAGTCCATAGATAAACCCAAAGACACGGACAAACCCAAGAAAAAATAAAAACAGCTTTGTTCCAACACGATCCGGGTTAGTCTGATTCTTGTTGGAACAAAGCCTTTATAAAGCACAATCCAATATTAAACAGACACTATTAATGCCAAAAAACAGTCAGCCTAGATTCAACGTTACATCATATTAAAAACCACCACGTAACTCTACGTATACGTGTTTTCTAAAAATAACAACATCAACATAACCTCAAAAATCAGTGAAAGCTCGAATTTTACGTGTAGAGAGTGCGCGTTAAAAATGAACATTCCCTATGGAAAATTGACGATTTATTTACTAACTTTTGTCGGGTACATTTACTCCGGTTATGGTTCGGGTATTTTAGGTAACTTAAGGGATGCCGTACTATCGGCGGAAAGCGTTTTCGGCGACGTTTTCAAGAACGTCATCAATTTGGCGCAGAAATTTAGAAATCTGCACGACGTTTTTGATGCCGCGGTGGACGAAGAGTGCATTTTTAAGTGCCCAAATGGTAAGAAAAAGCAATTTTGGAATATTTGATTTTGTTCATATTTTACCTTGTATTTAACGTTGTAATCTAAAAATAGTTTAATGATTGTACAAAGTGTAATTATCGCTGCAATTATGCATTTATGTATTTAGAAAATCAGGACAATTACAAAAAATAAGCAAATAAGTAGTTCAAATGAATCATTTACGTCCACGGAAGTTTCTAACGGCGTTGCCAGACTTCCGTTTTGTCGCAATTTATTTGGAGACGTTTTTTATTAAGATAACCATGCCAAAAATAATATCAGATTCTAAAGTTAAAGAACTTTTAGGGGCAAAACTTCATTTCGATGAAGTTATTAAGTTATTAACCTTTATAATCTGTGGAAGTTATGCCAAATGCCGCAATGGCAGAAAAAGTACATTGCCTTATGGACATTTTTGGAGTAAAAAAGTAACGTTTTTGGTTTTACAAATATTCAATCACACGTTATTTTCACCTATGCAGATCAAAATTTTTTGAAATTTTAAAAAATGGTGGAAATAAAAAAACAAAAAATAAAAATTTTGCTGTTAGGTTCAACCTTTTTGTGAAAAATCTAGTAGGTAATTTTCCTGTCTTTAAAATTAGCATCCATTTGGTTTGAAAAGGAATAACAAAATACCCATCACCCATTGGAGTCCAATGATTGGACAACATTCACGTGTTTCCACATAAAATTTAAATTTTTTTATATAAATTCTTTTAAAAGCGAAGATTATTATCCGCTAGGAATACTTTGTCTCTCCTGGGCCGTAGTCACCTATATTTAACTACTTTTTTATATGATTTTACTCATCTACACACCAGCAAAGCCAAATTATTGCATTTTAACTTCGAATTTTGACAACTCAACTTGACAACCGTTCAATGTAACCTACAATCATTTAAACATAACCACAATTACATTTATAACTAGTTTAGTTTGTTTTAATCAATGTTACCAACTTTGGTTCCGTATTTACCAACCAAATTTGCAACGTTGCCGCAGTCCTTGATAAAAAATTGAACTTTACTGAACCAAAGTTTTTTAGTTTTTACCTGCAATTTTTACGACAAAATTGAAATTAAAAAACTAATTTAATTTTTTTTAAGGTTTTCCCCCAAAACCCAACAGAAATCACGTGCCAAAAGCTGACGGTTGCGGTTCTCTGGGACTCAACATCAACTCGGAATATCTACCGGTTAAAGAGATGACGAAATGTTGCGATTTGCATGACATTTGCTACGATACTTGTAATAAAAATAAGGAGACTTGCGATGTGGACTTTAAAAGATGCCTTTATAAATATTGTGATACGTACGAAAAGAGTCTGGGCGGGCCTACAATAATGAAAGGTATTTATTTAAACTATAACTTAGTTTTTTTATTTACTTATTTTTTTAGCTTGTAAAGGTGCAGCTAAAATGCTCTTCACTGGGACACTCACACTTGGCTGCAGGTCCTATTTGGAAGCCCAAAAAGTGGCGTGCTATTGCTCTGATGCCAAACCTCCCTCATACGGTTGGAAGGATAAAAAGAACGCCAAATATTCGAGGGGGGATGGGGAACTTTAGGTTGTTATTAGTGGTTTATTTTTGTTTAAATAAAATGGCAATAAAATGCGTTTTACTAAATTTTATTCAATTCACCATACATACAGTTTAAATGAAACACAACTTATATCTACAAAAACAAAATTAAATAATATAACCAGTTATATTTATTTACATTTACATTTTTTTTTTCAAAATAAATACACGCTTTAGGGGGGCCGTTTTATTTATACTCAGGAATTATTCTTATGTGATATTTTCAATTGAATAAAAAATATATAAATTTTTTTATTAAAATTGAAAATATCACTCTACTTTAACCCACAAAAATAATTCCCGAATAAAAAACAAAACGGTGCCCCATATTTTTTAAAACATAATATTGATTGATTTAGAAAAATATTACCGTCTTTTTATTTTATATAGGTAAGTGTTTGGTGTAATGTTGCGTATTAAATATTTCAGACGATTAATAATAAGATTAAATGTAAATTTAATCACATTATACCCAAGTATATATCTCCAAGGCAAAATCCTGAAAAATAAAACCATTTTCCAGGTTAAGTTGACATTTAATAATTTGAATTAAAAATATTATAAGAGACATTTTTAAATGAATTAAAAATATCATAGGAGAAATTTATAATTCAAATTAAAAATTTTCAAATAAACAAAAAAATATCACAGGAGAAATTTATAATTCGAATTAAAAATATCAAAGGAGATATTTTTAATTCGATTTAAAAACATCATAGAAGATATTTGTAATTCTAGATAAAAATATTATAGGAGAAAGGTTTAAAGGAATTAAAATCATAGGAGAAATTTATAATTCAAAAAAATTTTCAAATAAACAAAAAAATATCACAGGAGAAATGTATAATTCAAATTAAATTTTTTTAAATGAACAAAAAATATCATAGGAGAAATTTATAATTCGAATTAAAAATGTTAAAGGAGATATTTTTAATATAAATTAAAAATATCATAGAAGAAATTTATAATTTAAATTAAAAGTTTTCAAATGAACAAATTAATATCATAGGAGACATTTATAATTCGAATATTAAAAATATCAAAGGAGATATTTTTAATACAAATTATTGGAGAAGGAATTAAAAAAATCATAGGAGAAATGTATAATTCAAATAAAATTTTTTTAAATGAACAAAAAATATCATAGGAGAAATTTATAATTCGAATTAAAAATTTTCAAATAAACAAAAAAATATTACAGGAGAAATTTATAATTCGAATTAAAAATATCAAAGGAGATATTTTTAATACTAATTGTTGGATAATGGTTTAAAGGAATTAAAAAAATCATAGAAATTTATAATTCAAATTAAAATTATTATGGTAAAAATTCTTAAACGAATTAATGATATTAGAAAAATTTATAATTCGAATTAAAAATGTTATAAGAGAAATTTTAAAATGAATTAAAAATATCACAGGAGAAATATATAATTTAAATAATTTTTTTTTTAAATGAACCAAAAAAATATCATAGGAGAAATTTATAATTCGATTTAAAAATGTTAAAGGAGATATTTTTAATACAAATTAAAAATATCATAGAAGAAATTTATAATTCAAATTAAAAATTTTCAAATACTTAAACAAAAAAATATTACAGGAGAAATTTATAATTCGAATTAAAAATATCAAAGGAGATATTTTAATTCGAATTATAAATTTCTTTTATGACATTGTTAATTATAAAATTATAAATTTGTCCTGTAATATTATTTATTCAAAGAATTAAAAATATCACTTTAACATTACGATTTATTAACTTGACATTTTTAAACAACTCCTGAATAAAAAATCAAAACATATTCATCCTACCTTAGTGAGTTCTGTTTGATCGCGGCAAGTTGCACATCTCGCAGTTCTGGTGATCCGCCTGGTTCAGGAAGGTGCAAAAAGGGCAGGTCCATCTAGCCTCTCCTCCCGGAGACCCGACGGACGCCGAGGCTATGCTTCCGGAGGCGACGCTTCCGGGCCTGGAACGGAAAACGAAAAATGTCAATCTATCCGGCAACTCACAGCAAACGGAAAATTATAGAAGTGTATAGTATGACGCCACGTTTGAATATTGTTTTCTAAATCTCCCCACGGTATAGATTTGTATTCGTCAGTCGAGCGTTTCAATACTCTCCACAGTATAGAGGTCGTAATTTCACTTTTGAACTAGTATTAATATAAAAATTATTTTATGCTTAAAAAAAACTATACACGACATGATTGTGATTTTTTTCATTTTATTAATTAATTAAGCTGTGTTGAATATTTTTCCTAAAGGAATAATTGCCAGTGGGCCATTAATTCATTTGTTCGTAGATGCTACAATAACCTGCACTGGTGTGTACTTTTTCATCAACCAGATTTAAATATTGCTGTACTAACATATACCAGTGGAGATAGTGCAGGGTCTACCAACAGACCTCATTACTAAATTATTAAAGTTTAATACTTAGCATATCGATCATTTTTTCAACATAACCTCTGAAATTTTTAATACAAATATAGGTACTTTATATAATACATAAATATACTTAACATCATATCCTCTGTGCTTTACATACCTGAGTGGTTACGGTAAATAAAAATCAGACAAAGGAACCAAAGAAAGGAACTATTTTCAACAAAATCATATGCAGAATAAGAAAATTCAAACTACTTGCATTCATCTAAAGATCAAAACTTCTTGCAATATTACTCCCTCTTTTTATACTCTCATAAATATTGACTAGAACAGTATTAGTGAGACTCCAGTTTCTATAACTTGGTAGAGTAAAGAGAAGTCGAAACCGTTGCGATATTGCATTGCGCTGTTTTTGTATAATTCTCGGGGACATTAAAGAAAATCATTGCCAGTAAAATTCGAAAAGATTGAGTTTCTATGTCTCTGTGGAGAATAGGAATCCGAAGTTGCTGCACCATTGGACTGAACCCTTTTTTAATAATTTCTAGAGACATAAATGACTGCACCATTCGACAAGGTCGAGTTTCTACCTCTCTGTTGAATATAGAAAATCAAAACAATGTATCTTGTAAGACGCCATTGCGTTTGACTTTAAATATAGTCGTGCAAAGGTATAGAGCCGAAAAATATAAAAACAAATCACGATTCAATACAGTTATGATAAAATTTTAAGATTTGATATTCAAACGCGGAGTCATCCTATACAGTTCTATAATTTTCCGTTTGCTGTGAACTCTTTTAGGTAAACTTCACCTCGACGGCGGGGGTGAGCTGGCCGCGATCAGCTGCTCCAAGGTGGCCCAGTGCTCGGACCTGGACCACTCCTCCGCGGCGGCGCGGTCCTTGGTCCTCAGCGCCTGCAGCAGGGGCCCCATGTACTCCTTCATGGGCAGCATGTCCATCGTGGCGATGTAGAGCAGCAGATGGAAGTCGTTGATCGCGAGGTAGAACTCGTTGAAGGCGAACTGCGCCAAGTAGTTGGTGAGCGATTGGAAGTCCTGTATGTGCCCGTCGACGAAGCGGTTTTCTATGGCGAACGGCTGCTTCGAGACGTCGCCGTTGAAAGTGTACGTGGGATTCACCGGGGTGGAGGCCGGCACGTCGACTAGCAAGTACTCCACCGGCAGAGGGCGCGCCAAACGAGACACTTCGTTGCCATAAGAATCTTTTTCCTAAAACAACAAACAAAACCGTTACACAGCGTTTCAGTTCTGGAAAATATCGGCAAAACCTCAAAATGTGACATTTTTTTTCAGGTAAATTTTGAGTTAGATGGATAGTTAATACCTGTCTCCATTCTGTATTGAAAAAAAATTATATAAAATACGTATATTTTTTCTTGTATATCAGTTTAAACTTGACGCTTTCGGTTGAAGGTACTTTACACGCGATCGCTGCGAAAAATTGTTTATTGTTTAAAAGTGAATAACTTGTGTTTGGTGTGTCCGATTGTTATGCGGTTTCATGAAGGGTGATCTTCAAGGTATCTAAAATTCAGATATGTATTTGTTTTTCGTAGATTTTGCTTGTACAACCGATTATTGTAACCGACAAGATCGGTCTGTTAAAATCGCAAACTTTGAATCGAGCTTTTAGAACAATGGAGCTACAAAAATTGTAATGAATTGTAATGCATCAGTTCAAGATCCGTTGAATAGCTTTGTCTATCGAGCCATCAATAAATTATCTGCCCCAACTTGCCCCCGGCTCTTTAAAACTACATGTTCTTGGGCGCTCAGGCACGGTTGTGGTAAAAAACCTCGCGATTTTAAGCCTATGTCGCGCGCGTATCTGTGTTTTTGCTTAAAAAAATATAAGATTTTTTTTATTTCTGGGTTGCGTTCATGACGTTTACTCGGTTCACTCGGATTTATCTCAAAACGTTTATTACAACAGCGGTGTCTAGACTTTCACTTGCGTAAATCGTTTGTAACTACGAAGATATTTAACACCGATTTTACATATTTAACCCACCTCTTGTAGGTGCGTTAAAACAACTCCGCATGCGCATTGTAGTGTGTTAATGTAACCTCTTACGGGTTTTAATTAATTTCGACAATTTTTTGATAAAAATGTCCGCCATTTAAGGTCCACCATTTTGAATTTTGGATTTCTGATTCCAGATTCATTATCAGCGACCACAAAAACCCCTGTATGGTGATTTTCAATTTATTCCGTCAATTTTTTGACAAATATTTCCGCCATTTTGGATCTACCATTTTGAATTTTGGAATTCTGATTCCAGATTCATTGCCAGCGACCACAAAAACCCCTGTATGGCGATTTTCAATTTATTCCGTCAATTTTTTGACAAATATGTCCGCTATTTTGGATTTACCATTTTGAATTTTGGAATTCTGATTCCAGATTCGTTATCAGCGACCCCAAAAACCTCTATGTACGGATTTTTATTAGGATCCGACTACTCCTTGATATTTTGACGAAAATTTCGAGAATTGAAACACTGTATCGGTCAGTTTAAGTAAGTTTTATCTAGCTTAAATGGAAATCCTAAAGACAGTTATATCTAGTTTAAATTAAGACAGTTATATTGAAGTAAAACTAATATTCTGGGTTTAAACATTCTTAGTTATATCTGGTTTAATAATGTAAGTTTTACTCAAAAAAAAAACTGTCTTAAGAATTTCAATCTAAGCTGCATTAAAATTTTTTAGAATTGTCAACTTGAGCTAGATATAACCGTTGACATTCTTAAGGGGGATATAAAAAGATCCCCTATTACAGGGGCTATAATAGCCCCCAAACTTTTTATTGCGTTGTCCATGTTTTTTCTCTATTTCGGCTAGCCTATATTCTTAAGACAGTTATAGCTAGTTTGAGAATGGCAGTTTTACTTAAATATAACTGTCTTAAGAATGTCAATCTAATCTGGATAAAATTGTTTTAAGACTTGTGGACATTCTTAAAACAGTTTTGAGAATGTTAGTTTTTCTCAAATATAACTGTCTTAAGAATTTCAATTTAAGCTAGGCAGACTTTTATAGCTAATTTAAGAATGTTAGTTTTACTTAAATACAACTGTCTTAAGAATGTCAATCTAAGCTGGATAAAATTGTTTTAAGACTTATATTAACATTCTTAAGACAGTATAGCTAGTTTTGAGAATGTAAGGACTGCAAACTTAAGCTAGATATAACTCTTGTACTACAGTATCCCCTAGCCAGTTTTGAGAATGTTAGTTTTACTCAAATATAACTGTCTTAAGAATGTCAATTTAAGCTAGAATAAAACTCTCTTAAAAATGTCAAGTTAAGCTAGGCCAAGACATATCCCATAATAAGGGCTATAAAAGTATCCCCCTATTATAGGCTACAATATTGTAGCTTCTCAATTTTTTAATGTTTTATCAACAGTTTTGGCCAGCCTATATTCTTAAGACAGTTACAGCTAGTTTGAGAATGTCAGTTTTACTTAAATATAACTGTCTTAAGCTAGGATCAGACGGTGCAAATTCTTGCAGCAACTTTGTCGCGGCAACCAGGTTGCGGCGATTTTTTGTTGTTCACACAATGAAACTAAGCAGTTGATCAAACTTGTCCTAAAATAGAACATGTTCTATTTTTCATGCAATAAAGTTGCGGCGACTTAGTAACTTTTACAGGGGTTTACGAATTTTCACTAAAAAATAAGGTTGGTACTTAATATTTGTCAAATGGAATGACAGATAACAACCTTATTTTTAAGAGTGTGTAGTAGTCTAGTTTAATAAAACATTAAATGTTTGTTATTGTTAATAATAATAAGCACTACCATTTATTTAATCTATGCACTAAACACTTTTAACGAAATAACGAAAACATATGTTATACATTTAAATCAGAACAGGTATTTTTATTTTTCCCCTTAGTAATTTTCGGAAAAATTGGCAATCCTGGTGGAAAATTGCGCCAATTTAGTTGGTTCGTGTGAATACCTTGTGTGCAACAAAATCGCTGCAACTTGTTGCAGCGATAAAGTCGCCGCGAGAGGCTGCACCGTCTGATCCTAGCTTTAAGAATGTCAATCTAAGCTGGATAAAATTATTTTAAGACTTGTATTGACATTCTTAAGACAGTTATAGCTAGTTTTGAGAAAGTTCTACTCAAATATAACTGTTATAAGAATGTCAATCTAAGCTGGATAAAATTGTTTTAAGACTTGTATTAACATTCTTAAGACAGTTATAGCTACCCAGTCAACATTCGTGAATCCACAACTGATTCACATTCGGTTCACAGCCGTGAATTTTACCAAATGATGCAAATGGGAGTCCATGTGAAGTCCGCGTGAATTCAGAAGGGGTTCATATGGAGTTCACAGTCGTGGATTTAACTAAATGACGCGAATGTGAACCCAACTGAAGCGCGCATGGATCCGCGATTTATTCACATTCAGTTCAGGTCGTGGAATTTACGAAATGAAGTTAATGTGAACTTCGCGTGAATTCACAATTGATTCACATTCAGTTCAGGGCCGTGGAATTTATTAAATGACGCTGATGTGAAGTTATGTGAACTTCGCCTGGATCCACGATTGATTCACTTCCAGTTCACGGCCGTGGAATTTACTAAATGAAGTTGACGTGAAGTTTGCGTGGATCCACTTTTTATTCACATCCAGTTCACGGCCGTGGAATTTTTGAAATGACGCTGATGTGAAGTTATGTGAACTTCGCCTGGATCCACGATTGATTCATTTCCAGTTCATGGCCGTGGAATTTACTAAATGAAGTTGACATGAACTTTGCGTGGATCCACTTTTTATTCACATCCAGTTCACGGCCGTGGAATTTATGAAATAACGCTGATGTGAAGTTATGTGAACTTCGCCTGGATCCACGATTGATACACTTCCAGTTCATGGCCGTGGAATTTACTAAATGAAGTTGACATGAACTTTGCGTGGATCCACTTTTTATTCACATCCAGTTCACGGCCGTGGAATTTATGAAATGACGCTGATGTGAAGTTATGTGAACTTCGCCTGGATCCACGATTGATTCACTTCCAGTTCACGACCATGGAATTTATTAACCCATTAAGTTAATGTGAATCTTGGTGAAGTTTACGTGGATCCGCATTTTGTTCACGGCCGTGGAATTTACGCTATAGCGATGCATCATACATGTATACAAAAATGTTTGTATATAGCGACTTAAGTCGCTATAGCGATGTATACATTTATTTGCATTTACCTTAATTACATCTTTGAATTTATCTTAATTACAAAATGACTCAATTAACAATAATAATTAATTATAATTATAATTATTAATAATTGTTAATTATGTCATTTTGTAATTAAGATAAATTCAAACAAATGTACCCATACAGCACCTAAGACGAAAAGCAAATTAATTTGCTTAGTGAATACGGCTGAATATCATATTATGAAAGTTAGGTTACCACGGAAATTACATATTTCAGATTTAACAAAGCTTTTTTATTAACACCTGTAGATATCATTCGACATACCCTCGTATTACAGTACACATGTTGTGTGTACTACACATGCGCAATAGTCTTCTAACAGTCTGCTTCTAACCCTAAAATTTATATATACTACGTAGTTTGCGACGAGAAGGAAATCATAGAACAAACCAGGAAAATTTCATGAGGAAGTAATTATTTGTGTTTGTGTTTGATAATCAAAGGTAAGTGTAGGTATAAATCCAGCTAAAGAACTAAAACAGCCAACATATATAAAGTTGTCATATTAATATGCAGGAGTAATGTTACATTTAGAAAAAAACGTTCTTTGTATTGTACAATTTTGTGATTGTAAATTGTAAATGTAATTTATTTTGTGGATGCGAGGAAAATAAAAGGGTAGCAATGTTTTCCCGTCATATGCAGGCTGTTTTCAAGGCCACCAGACAAAGAATCCGAAAGCTAAGGACCCAAGTAAGATAACATATCATAGTGATTCAGGTAGTTGTCTAATATTTAAAAATTTCGTTCATACAGATAAATGGAACGGAACAACAACAGGCCGATGTCAAACAACGGACCGATGTCGAACAACGGGCCGATGTCGAAAAAAGCGTGGAGTCATTTGAAGAGTCGTCCGATACAGATACGGATACAGATATATCCGTATCTGTATCTTTGTAATCATAATTGTTTTTTTAACAAATAATTTTTATTTATGTATAACATATTAATTTTAATTTATATATAACATTTATGTAATATTTTTATTTTTTTATACTTTTTTATTTCTTATTAAGAATTTATGTTTATTTTTTTATCAAAATACATGTTTTTTTTATACTTTTGCATTATTAATAATGCAGAAGTATATAATTATTACTATTATTATAATAATTATTATTACTCTATATTAATATTTACTAAAAATAGTAATAATTATACACTTTTGTATAAATCTATATAGTATATACTATATATACTAGGTTCACAGTACCTTCAGATACCCTTAATTTATGAAGTCACGGTGAATTCATATAGGTTCATCCGAAATCCACTCGTGAATTCATATGAACGTAAAATGAATCCATATGAATTCACAGTGACTTCATATTTTGTCGTCATCTGAGGGCACCCTGAATCCACGATGAAGTGAAATGAATTGAAAATGCCTTCATATGAATCCATAGTGAATTCACGAATGTTTACTGGGTAGTTTTGAGAATGTTAGTTTTTCTCAAATATAACTGTCTTAGCTAGACTAAGACAGTCAAAAATGTCAATTTATGCTGGAATAGACAGTTATAGCTAGTTTAAATATTTTAGTTTTACTTAAATATAACTGTCTTAAAATGTCAATCTAAGCTGGATAAAATTGTTTTAAGACTTCTATTGACATTCTTAAAACAGTTATAGCTAGTTTTGAGAATGTTAGTTCTACTCAAATATAACTGTCTTAAGAATGTCAATTTAAGCTTTTATTAACGTTCTTAAGACAGTTATAGCTAATTTAAAAATATAACTGCCTTAAGAATTCCAACAGTCTCAAGCATGACAAATTAAGCTAAAATTTAACTGTCTTAAGAATTTCAATTTCAGATGGATATAACTGTTTTAAGAATGTCAATTTAAGCTGCTGTCTTAAGAATGTCAACCTAAGATAGGTATAACTCTCTTAAGAGTGTCATTTTTTTCTAGCTATCATATATTAAGCTGGTGCCTTAAGAATGTCAACTTAAGCTAGAATATTACTGTTTTAAGAATGTCAATTTTAGCTAGATATAACTGTTTTAAGAATGTCAATTTAAGCTACAATTTAACTTTCTTAATAATGTCAACTTAAGCCAGATTTAACTGTCCTAATTATGTCAGCTTAATCTACGTAAAACTGTTTTAAAAAAATTTAAGCTAGAATATAACTATATTGTTTTAAGACTGTCAACTTCAGTTAATTATAACAGTTTGCATATTTTGTTGCATTTAAAGGCTATTATTTACTGTGTCGGATCAATAATTTTCTATATATATTAATATTAGCAAAATGAAAAAAACAAGGAAGTTTAATAAAATAATACTAATAAAGTATAATTAGGGGGACTTTGTACCCTTAAAAGGGGGTTGCCTTTGTTCTTTGTCCGAGGTAAATTTATAGATTGGCCGCGGTCGGACCGCCCCATCCGAATGGAAACTTGTTGCGCCGAGTGTACGACGTAGTAGTAGTGAATCGATTTCGAAGTTGGCGCGTTGTGAGTCGCCGCGAAGTGAGCTGTGACGTTTCAAGGGCAAACAATGGCGCATCATCGGCTAACTTAACGGTAATGTCAGTCGACAAAATGATGTGGCACCTCGCGTAGCGGCCACTCCGACATTTTCAGTTTTTACGTATCGAAAAGGCGAAAACAGGGCCGCCGACATCGGCGCCTGCCCGTCTGTAATGTAATTTAAGCGAGAAACAAACCGTAACCGATAAAATAGTACAAAAACGTATAACCAAAACAAATAACGACGATCTATTTACCGACCAAATAAAAAACAACCGTAAACGTACTAAATTCGGAACTAAATATTGGCTGTGTAATACATCGTTAAAAAATACGGTAAGCCAAACAATTTATCGCTCCTAGGGTGCAGGGAGACACAATTACCATAAAAATTATTGCTACCCATGGTCCCTTTCTTGCCACTTGTCGATTGCATTATCCCGCTGGCCAATCAAACGCCCGTCACGGGTGTACAATTGGCGCCAAAACGTCACACCAAATCGAATTTATCAAACATTACGACATTTTACATGAATTGTGTATGAAATACGAAAACCCAACACATTCCTTAAACACACGCATTATCGATTAGCCCATTTAGGTTATGTAACTATTTGTTTATACGTTTTTTCATACTTCCCACGGCCTTTCTTTACAACAAAATAACTAAGTAGGTACAGCAAAGAATGTTATTTAATTTAACAGTTACTTTTGCCCATAATAATTGTTAAAATATATTAAAAAATCAATTTTTGATCTCTTAAATTTTATAACTTTGTTAAACGTTCTAACCTAAAAGTATTAATATAAAATATTGATCCTCAACACTGACATGAAATATTCGCTTTTTTATTATTAGCTACAACTAGGAAAACTTATAATAAATGTTATTATTTTGAACTTTTATTAATATCCAGCAAAAGTTGACTGACCCAATTCAACAGTAAAAATAGCCTTTATATTCAACAAAATATAGTTGCAAATATTATCAATGGGGCTATTTTAATCCCTTTAATAAATATATATATACTGGGGTGATTTAAAAAAAAATCGAATATTTTTTTACTTCTGACACTGAATTTAAATAGTAACATAGTACTATTACTATAAGTTTAATTTTATTTCAATGTTTTTTTTCATGGATAACTTGACAGAATAAATTTTTGTAGTTATTATTGTGCATTTTTCTACTTAAATTTTTTCAATAAAATTTAGTAAGGGGTGGTGAATCCAGTGCCTATTTTGTAAAGATATAGCGTTTTTTGTTTTAAAAATACAGTTTATCAAGATCTACACTTTAAAACAAATCCGGTTAAAATCGCACAATTAATAAATATTTTACAGGGGTGAGTCGCAAATAAATGGGTCACACTGTATATAGAATTTTTCGTTGTTTTTGTTCTATTATGATGTACCGGAAATGTTACATTTTTATTCACCTAAATTATTTAGAAAACATTCGTTTCACAATAATTGTTGTTAAACTAAATTTAAAAAAACAACAAAATTTAAAAATGTTAGCGGAAATAAATTTTTATACGCGCGAAAGTATAATTATAGAGATCAAATAATTTATTCAGACTTCCAAAATATTTGTTTTGGAGGCAAAATTAAAGTTTGTACCGTTTTAAACATAAAATGTGCCTACGAGTTTTTGCCAAATGAAAATTTTAAATGTTAATGTATTTAATTGCACCCACAAGGTTATATAAATTCCATAAAAATTGTTATGAATTATTATTATTCTTTAGAGTTAAAAATATTATTTGATAATACAAATCGTGATTTTAAGGGATAGAGAACTAAATAATTTAAAGTAAAATCAATATGCTGAAATGTGATATTCATAACACCAAAGAGGATTATAAAAGAAATACTATAATGGGTTCAAAAAATATAAATATATCAAGTTTTTTGTGAGTAATTTTGATCAAACTGTACGGAAAGCATTACTTCCCGTCCCTGTACTGTAAAAGCACATTTTCCACATTAGAAATAGAAATATAAATACTTTGTACAAAACAACTTATTTCTAGGAAACATGGACAACGTGGCAGCACCGGAATTTGAGGAGCTAATGCTCTGCGGCTACTGCAAGCAGAAGTTCAACGAAACCGAGCAGAGCCCGAAGCTGCTCAGCTGCAAGCATTACTTCTGCCTGCAGTGCATGCGCACAGGGCTGAACAAAGGCGGCGGTCAGGAGTTGTACTGCGTATACTGCTGGAAGAGGACCGAATTGGGGGAGATGGGGCCCGAATCTTTGCCCACGTACGCCCCTGTGCTGTGTCTGGCCAAAAATTTCGCCCAGCTGAGGGTCAAGCCGCCCGACAAGCCAGCTAACAAGGTTTTTAGTTTTTACGACACTTTTTAATGCACATTAAACATTCTCTTTTGTTTTACTGTGAAAAACTGCCTCTACTTTGTTTGTTTATTTTCAAAGGATAAGTTTCGATTTACACAGAAAGAATTGAGATTTTAAGTTAATATAAATATAAATACACTTTTTGTACCAATGTAGGAATTCATATATATTAGACTGGGCCAAAAAAATCGACTATTTTTTTTTTGGAGTCCATAATATTAATATTAAGAGGTCTTTGATCGCAATTTTAGATTTTTTTTCCTGGGCGAGTTTTTGTCTCAGAACTCCCAAATCATTGAGTTTAACAAAATTGACTTAAGAATATTTTTTGAAGAAAATTGAATGCTCTACAAAAAGGTTTGATTGGAATTTCCCGTCAGATGAACCCTTTTCTTACAATCATGCCTTAAAAATTGGTATAGTTTTACAATTTGATCTTTTAACTTTGGAATTTTGTAATTCAAGTAAAAATCAGTACCCTGAAAAAAACGATAAATATTCTTATGGGAAATCAAATGCTCTACAAAAAAGGTCTTTTATCATTTTTGGCTAAATTCACTCCATCAAAAGTTATTCAAGGTTAAATTTGAGTCAAAACGAAATTTTAACATTGAATTACTTTTCATTGAGTGAATTTAGCCAAAAATGTTAAGAGGTTTTTTTGTAAAGCATTTGATTTTCCATAAGAATATTTATCGGTTTTTTATGGGTACTGATTTTTACATGAATTTCAAAATTCCAATTTAAAAGATCAAAATGTAAAACTATACCAATTTTTAAGGCATGATTTTAAGGAAACGGTTCATCTGACGGAAAATTTCACTTTAACCTTTTTTGTAGAGCATTTAATTTTCTTAAAAAAATATTTTCGAGTCAATTTCGTTAAACTCAATGGTTTGGGAGTTCTGAGCCTAAAACTTGCTGAGGAAAAAAAAATAAAATTGCGATGATAGACCTCTTAATATTAATATTATGGACTCAAACTTTCACAATAGTTTTTTTTTGTCACCCAAAACCATATTTTCGATATACTTTTAAAAAAAAAATAGTTGATTTTTTTGGCCCAGTCTACTTTGTGATAATATTTTGCAATTACGGTAATAAAAAAATCAAAGGATAGAATAGTTTCATATGTTTTAAATTTATTTCAATATTTTGTTAAGTTTAATTAAAATGTTCATGGGGAAAATTACGTCAAAAATGTTTACTGGGATGATTACTTTATCTTCGCGTAGATGTCGCTTTAAAAAAAATTGAATTTAAATCATTTTTTAAATATTAAATATTTCTCGTTAATAAACTTTTTTAGACACTCATTTAATTAAGCACTCGCTCGTGCCTAAATTAAACTCGTGTCTAAAATGGCGTGCATTAAACTTGTTACATAATATACTATTTTATCGGAACTGCGTTATTCATTTTCAATAAAAATATGATTTAAGTATCTGATATTCCCTATCAGGTAATAAATTTAAAAAAACGTTGCTTGGAGTAAATTAACTAAAATAAATTCTATAAAATATTGTTTTTTTACAACTTGATTATAATAATAATAAAAATGAAGGGAATTTTCCTAATACAAATTTTGTTTGATACAATTTTTTTGAATTTGGTTAAATTTTAGGTAATTTCGGAAAATTGCCACACACATGCCATGCCGTTGGCGCTTTGGTGTCACACGTGTTGCTCGCCTGTGTGCCGCGCATGCGCAAACACCAGCGATCATTCCGCCCATCAAATCAAATCTCAGGTAGGGACATTTTTTTATTTTTCGATAAAATTACTTAAAAGCCAAAAAAAGACTGCGTCGAAACTAACTTTCATCTCACCGCTGTGATTGATTCAAAAACCTATATAAGGGCAAGGAATCGTAATTTCGTCGGTGTTCCGCACCACACAGCAACTCGATACTGATACAGCTATCAATCGAAGCTGGTGAGGAACACGAACGAAATTAAACAAAAGCGGCGACGAAATACAAAAAAAACATTCAAAAAAATGACTTTTAGGTCGAAGCGAAAGACCAGCTGGTGGCGGAGCTGCAGATCGACCTGGCGTCGATGAACAAGATGCTCGGGGAGATCCAGCGGTTGGCGGTGCAGCAGCGCGAGTTCCTGCTCAAAATTTTGGAGGCGTGCGTCACGCTGAAAACGCACGTAGAAGCCGACCTCACCAACAACGCGTCGCACTTCGAGGTGACGGAGACCAGAGACGCGCTCGCCAAGCTGCGCCTCAACCTCTCCATGGCGGAAAATTTGAGCGACGTCCATCAGCTCTGCTCCAGCGTCGGCGTAGAGAAGCAGCGCTTGCAGATGAGGTACCAGGTGGGTCGATTCGTTCAAATATCGAAGGGTTTTGACAAAATATCGTGAGCATTTAGATTGAAGTCATTAATGTGGATAGCAAACAACGCAGGGCCAAGAATTGAACCCTGCGGTACTCGTATCCTGATTTCAAACATTCCGAAGCTATCTGATAAGATTTGAATAGCTTAAGTTGACATTCTTGATTATATTTCAAGGCATCAAATCATTTCGTGGTTGTGGGTATTTGATACATTTAATTGTTGATAAGGAGAGAACGAATCTTTGCAAAACGAACATTCCTACGAGAACTAGACTTGCAACTCATTTTCTATGCCAAAAAAAAAATAATCTTAAAATGCAAATGTCAAAAACCTGTCGATATTAACAGTGGAGTTCGGAAATTATCGTTCGGTTCTTTTAGGAAATGTATTTGCAATGCCAACTAGACGATCTAATACGAAACTCGACGGTAATTTTCGATTTTCAGTTGCTCAAGCAGGCATTGAGCAACATTCAAAACGGCGACGCTTCGTTCGCGGGGAATTCCCGGGTGCCTGCGCAGAACCAGCAGAACCCGATCTTGTTCCTGGCCAACTATTGCATGTCGCAGCTGTACTCGCGGCACATGCTATCCAAACAGGTAAATACTACTCTCTTAAAATGAATTAGTCAAAAATAACTAATTATAAGTCATATTTGACTAATTGTCATAGCGATAAAGCAGTCACTAATAATTAGTCAAATTCCACTGAATGAAATAGTCAAATTAGTAAATTTAAATTTAAAAAAAGTTTTGACCCAGCCTGGGATTGAACTCAGGTCTTTAACTTGACAAGTTTGTCAAGCTAACCTCATAACGCATTCGGCTGTCAGCCGCTCTTATAAAAATCAATTTTATTTGTCAATGAATATTGTTCATAATATTTTAAAGTTTAATATATTATTTGTGTTGCTGTTTTGAGCTAAACTTTTTGCATCTTTATTTGTTTTATGAGTCATTTAATCATGCGTTTAATTCAAATAATATTTTGTTGTTGGCCGTAAACGATTAAAGAAATTAGTTACTTTTAACTGTTAGAAATAGTCAAAGATGGTGACTAATCTTAAATTAGTCAAACTTTAACTATTTACGTAGTAAAAAATAACTATTTAAAAGTGAAAACGACTATTTTATTAGTAAAAAATGCTGGTACTAATTCAAATAGTAGAATTTTGACTATTTCATTTTTAGAGAGTACTCTCTCGATGCGTAATTGTAATAATAATATAACTTGATAGACGAACGTAAACGGCAACATGGAGTACCACAATCACAACTCGGCGGCGCAGAACTCGTACATGGGGGCTTCTCAGCCGCCGTCAGCGCCATCGCAGCAGCATTTGGTGCTTGCGCCGCCGAAGACCATCTACCAAGACAACAGCCTGTTGATGCAGAGCATGATGCACTCTCCGCAGGTGAGGAACCCCGCCAACATGTGCCCCATGTTTTATTTCAACGTCGAAGTCAACGGGGCGCAGTTGGGACGAGTTGTAATCGAGGTTAGGGCCGACGTTGCGCCCAAGATGGCTAAGAATTTCGGGGTTTTGACCACAGGTAATTTGGACGACGTTTTGAGGGATGTTGAGGTAAAATTGTTACGTTTTAGGCGAGGCCGGCATGGGTTACAAAGGCTGCCAGATCTTCCAGTGCTGGGAGGGGGAGAGCGTCATCACAGGCGATTTCGAGTTGAATAACGGCAGAGGAGGACGCAGCATATTCGAGGATTCGTACTTTTTGCCCGACGACACCAAACTGATGGCGGTGAGAGGTACCGTGGGCATGCGCAGAACGCAAAAACGCCACGACAACCTCGGTATGGTCGGCTCGCAATTCAGGATCATTCTGCAGGAGATGCGGGGTTTCACGGGGATTTTCGGGCATGTCGTCGAAGGTTTGGAGCTGGTGGAAAAAATTAGCACGTACGGGGACACCGCGGGGAAACCCACGAAGAACATTGTCATCGCCAAGTGCGGCAAGTTGTAGAAACAATAAGCAAAGCAAAACGAAAAAACTGTATCGATGTAAATGTTGCTTTTATCACTCTCTTCGTCAAAATCGACATGTTTTTTCGTTTCAGCCGTATCGCGGCCCGCCCGGATCTCGAATTTAAACGAATTAAAAAATCGCATACGTAAAGACTGACAGATGGCACCGCACGCTAACGAATTATATTATACATCAAAAATCAAACATTATGGAGATCCGGGGGCCATTCAAACAAAACATTTGTCCGTGTATAGATCTATGTGCTTTTTGCGAACGAAACCGTCATAGCTTATAAACTTGAGAAAATATATATTTTCGTATGTTGTATGTAAAAAGTCGCGTCGTTGGGAGTTATACACAAAAAATAATCGAGGGTTTTAGTTTGTCGTAGCTTAACGGAAATGTAATCATTATATTATAGTATTCGTAATCGTTAACGTTATGTTGTAGTTTATAGCGAACGGAGCGTTATTATTAAAGATACAGAGTTTAAAAGAAAAAAAATTGTAAAATATTATCGAATCGTCGGTTGGGAATGGTTAAATTTATTTCGCGAATTATGCTTCCTTTTTCTATCCACGTACCTTATAGCTGTTAGTTCCAGTGCCAGAGCACTATAAACTTGTTTAAATTATATCAATTGATTATTTTTTACGAAAAATTACAAAAAAGTTACACTGGTATTTTCCACATAAAATTTGAAGAAGTTTTTAATTTTTGACGTTGGGCGCCAATTTGTCGAAAATCTAAAATGTTAATTTTAACGTAAATCTAAACCCACCACTGGAAATATCGTCATATTTTTAGTAAACTTTCCAAAAATCATAAAAATAACATAAAAGTTATAGAAGTTACAGACATTTTTAATTTTTGACGTAAGGGCGCCAATTTATCAAAAACCTAAAATATCCATTTTAACTATAATTTAAGCACATCATTGGGAAGATCGTCATATTTTTAGTATACTTTCCAAAAATCATGAAAATAGCATAAAATTTGTAGAAGTTAGACATTTTAAATTTTTGACGTAAGGGCGCCATTTTGTCAAAAACCTAAAACATCAATTTTAACGTCAATTTAAGCACACCATTGGAAAAATCGTCTAATTGTATTATAATTTCTAAAAATCATAAAAATAACATAAAATTTGTAGAAGTTACAGACATTCTTAATTTTTGACGTTGGCGCCAATTTGTCAAAAACCTAAAATATCCATTTTAACGTTAATCCAAGCCCACCATTGGAAAGATCGTCATATTTTTAGCACAGTTTCCGAAAATCATAAAAATTGTTACAGACATTTTAAATTTTTGACGTGGGGCGCCAATTTATCCGTTTCAACATTTTAAATCGTTTTAATTGTCATACGCAAAGGAAATTGTTAAATTCAACTTGAACTGCTGCAAATGCGTTCAAGATCACAGCCAAAGTTATGTACATTAATTAAAAAAAGTTACACTTGTATTTTCCCGCTTAAAAACGAAGGCAGTGTAACTCTGTAGGTGTAAGCACGGTAAATCGGTAGGTTTAAGTTATTTATCCAAAAAAAAAACGTTTTTATTTTGTTCGTTTGAATCGTTACTGACAGTCTCGCGTCGGACCCTTGCGGAACATCGAATTTATCGGGCATATCATGTTTTCTATCGGGGACCCTTTCGCTATAGTAAAAAAACGTTTAGTTGTGCCTTAAACCTTTTTGGCTTTGCTCTCTCTTTTAATCCACGCGCAGTACAAATGAAATCGAAGAGGCGTAATTATATAAACATAATATATAGACGAGTTTTAGCCGAATAGCAGTAGCCTATTAATGTAAGCCTACTTAAAAATATGTGTCTAAATGTGTCGGTGTAGTTAAACGTGTTTTATCGAGTCATCATCAACATAACACTACTTCGACTGTGTAGTTTTTTCGCCGCAATCGGGAACAATAATTTTTCGTAACAGAACCAAAGCGAACATAGCAAAAGTATATTTTTTCATTACCTGAAAAACGAAATCATCACCTTATTGATTGGTGTCTCAATCTAACCTCATTAAAAATTAGTTGTGGCAATTAATGTATATCTAACAAAAAGGAAATCGTTCTAGTTTATAGCGTCGTTGTACATTTTTCAGAGTCTAGCTTTAGTCGTAGCTGTTTCGCGAATGTTAAGCAACCCATCCACAAGTGTTAAAAATGTATAGGTAGTAAAAGACTGGGATTGTTTGTTCAGTTTGTGGGTGGGCTGACTTAATGAAACGAAACTTATTTAAAAGAAAATAATCCTGAATCCCTTGAATTGCGAAATATTTTGTGTATTGTAGCGCCAGTGTTTGTGCCTTGTTAAAGACCCGACTATATTTGTGATAACTGAGTACCTACCATCTCACGTTAAATTTCAAATAAATTACTTTCCGCGTCAGAACAAAATAATTTGTTGGTGTTTTATTTCTCTTCTACCCTCTACCGTTTCAGATTTATATGAGTTATAGGTGTGAAATTTAAAAAAAGCTTATTAAAGGTAAGTATACAGTCATTTTAAATTTTAAATATGAGGATTGTAAAAAGTTGATTAAATTCATACTTTTGACCAAAACGACTTTTTGAGCATTTTGTATTGTTTTGAACAAAAATCTTGATTTATAAAATGTTTAAAAAAATACTATATTTTGTTTTATAAAGTATTTTTGACCCTATCTTCTTGGGAACTTTTTTTCATATTTTGCGCTGTTAAAATTTGGCAAATGCGCGTCAATCATAAATGGCCTATAGTTTTCTTGTTATTAGGTTTGCAGATATGGCAGTAAAATGTTTGGAATCTTAAAACATTGTTTGAAAAATGTGACAAGGAATCTTTAAAACAATGTTTTAAGATTCTAAAAATTCTTCTGACATTTCCGCAAACCTAATAACAAGTCATAAAAATAACATAAAATTTGTAAGAGTTACAGACATTTTAAATTTTTGACGTGGGCGCGTCTGTAAAGGTTGGGCGCCAATTTGTCAAAAACTTAAAATATCAATTTTAACGTTAATTTAAGCAAACCATTGGAAAGATCTTTTTATTTTTAGTATATATTCAAAAAATCATAAAAATAACATGAAATTTGTAGAAGTTACAGACTTTTTAAATTTTTGACGTTGGGCACCAACTTGTCAAAAACCTAAAATATAAATTTTAACACTAATTTAAGCACATCATTGGAAAGATTCGTATATTTTTAGTATACATTCGAAAAATCATAAAAATAACATACACACATTTAAAATTTTTGACGTTGGGCGCCAATTTGTCAAAAACCCAAAATATTATTTTTAACGTTAATCCAAACCCACCACTGGAAAGATCGTCATATTCTTAGTATAATTTCCAAAAATCATAAAAATAACATAAAATTTGTAATAAAGGGTTTTCCATTTTGAGTGTCATAACTTTAACCCTAAAAATAAGGCTGCTCTGGAATGTAAATGTCAAATCTTGACAACACATGTGTTCAGTACATTGTGTCAAATTAATATGGACAGATAACAATTTAACAGCGCTTAGAAATAATTCGTATTTACCATCAAAATGCATGTTCGGTTTGCCAAACATTTTGCAAGTTGCGAGAAATATAAGGTTTATCGTTTAAGAAAAAACTGGTTTACTGGCAAATAAGTCAACTTTTGTGCATCTAAAGGATCATGTGAAATCTCAGGTTTACAAAAATAAGCCACGAACAATTCTCGACCTTAAACGAAACATTAAACGCACTATTCAAAGTATACCACGCGATATTTGTAAAAGAATAGTAGAAATTAGGCCTTCATAATGCATTCAGTCAGGCAAAGTCGAGGGGGACATTTAAACGATATTATAAACATAATGTCATCGATCGTTCTTCAAAATAAAATATAGATTACGGGATTATAACATGTAGTTATTTTTTTATCTCATTTAAAATTTCTGACGCTCTAAATGAAAAACCCTTTAGTTACACACATTTTAAATTTTTGACGTGGGGAGCCAATTTTTCAAAAAACTAAAACAAAATAAAATTTGTAGAAGTTACAGACATTTTAAATTTTTGACGTGGGGCGCCAATTTGTCAAAAACCTAAAATGTCAATTTTAACGTTAATCCAAACCCACCACTGGAAACATCGTTATATTTTTAGCACAATTTCCAAAAATCATAAAAATAACATAAAATTTGTAAAAGTTACACACATTTTAAGTTTTTGACGTTGTCAATTTGTCAAAAACCTAATATAAAAAATTTAATGTTAATTTAAGCACATCATTGGAAACATCGTCATATTTTTAGTATACATTCCAAAAATCATAAAAATAACCTAAAATTTGTAAAAGTTACACACATTTTAAATTTTTGACGTTGGGCGCCAATTTTTCAAAAAACTAAAATATCAATTTTAACGTTAATTTAAGCACATGATTGGAAAGAACGTCATATATTCAGTATACTTTCCAAAAATCATAAATATAACATCAAATTTGTAAAAGTTACAGACATTTTTAATTTTTGACGTTGGGCGCCAATTTGTCAAAAACCTATAATATCAATTTTAACGTTAATTTAAGCACATCATCGTTATAATTTTAGTACAGTTTCCAAAATTCATAAAAATGACATAAAATTTGTAGAAGTTATAGACATTTAACATTTTTGACGTAAGGGCGCCAATTTGTCAAAAACCTAAAATCTCCATTTTAACGTTAATCTAAACCCACCCTTGGAAATATCGTCATATTTTTAGTATACATTTCAAAAATCATAAAAATTACATAATATTTGTAGAAGTTACAGAGATTTTTAATAAGTGACGTAAGGGCGCCAATTTGTCAAAAAAACCTAAAAAATCCATTTTAACGTTAATATAAACCCCCCACTGGAAATATCGTCATATTTTTAGTAAACTTTCCAAAAATCATAAAAATAACATAAAATTTGTAAAATTTACAGACCTTTTAAATTTTTGACGTGGGGCGCCAATTTGTCAAAAACCTAAAATATCCATTTTAACGTTAATCTAAACCCACCAAGTATACTATATAAGAATTGACAAGGAATCTTTAAAACGAAGTTTTAAGATTCAAAAATTCCACCACAATGTCCGCAAAGCTGATAACAAAAAAGTTATAGGCCATTTTTGATTGACGCGCATTTGTCAAATTTCAACGAAAAAAATTATTCGAAAACTATTCACTTTACGTATAGGACAAATTAAAATAAAAAGTTTTCGATTCACTTTTTCAATTATAAATAAAAAATGCACTTACCTTATAGTAAACATCAGGAACATACTGTTTATCGGACGATTCCCTGATGTAGCCCAACTCCGGGGCGTCTTTGGTTGGTAGCAAGCAATTATCGCGCACCAAAGCCATGCACTGGCTCGACACCTGATAGCCCTCCATGTGAACCTGATTGGTTTTGTCCCCTGGAAAAGCAACCGTCTATAGAGTCGACTTTCGACGACGAAACCGTTAAGCCTGATTTATAGATTGCCTTCCTTCCTTCCTTCCTTTCTCCCGTAAAAGATGAACAATACGAAAATCGTAGTGCCATTTATAGATTTCCGTACGGGAATCTATAAATTGCACTACGCCTTTCTTATTGTTTATCTTTTACGGGAGAAAGGAAGGAAGGCTATCTATATATTAGGCTTTACCTGTCACGCAGACTGTGACGAACTTGGAGCCGAAGCAGCCGCTCGAGGAGAACTTGGTGGCGTTTGGGTGCATGTTCTGGTAGTGGCCGGCCATGATGCACTCCTGCGCCGACAGGAAGTGGCTGTCGATGTTCCTGGTGTGCTTGACGGTGCCTTTGGACACGTCCTCGGCCACGAGGTCGGTGAAGATCCAGCCGACTCGTCGCAGGCCCAAGGCCGAGGCCAGCGACTCGACCGTCTCCTCGCGGTCGTCCGGCAGCAGGCGCACCGAGTCGCGGGTGCTGTCTTGCGGCGGCTCGTAGATCGAGACCACGTTGGCTCTGATACCTGTGAATGAGTTGCCCGATTTAAAAGTTGGTCTTGCGGGACCTTGGGAAAAATCCTATTTGGATTTTAAGACAGAATTTTGTTTATTTGGCACTGGAAACAGTTATATTTTTAGTATACATTCCAAAAATCATAAAAATAACATGAAATGTGTGAAAGTTACAGACTTTTTAAAGTTTTGACGTTGGGCGCCAACTTGTCAAAAACCAAAAAATATAAATTTTAACGCTAATTTAAGGACATCATTGGAAAGATCTGTATATTTTTAGTATACATTCAAAAAATCATAAAAATAAAATAAAATTTGTAAAAGTTATAGACATTTTAAATTTTTGACGTTGGGCGCCAATTTGTCAAAAACTTAAAATTTCCATGTAAACGTTAATCTTAACCCACCACTAAAAATATCGTCATATTTTTAGTATATTTTCCAAGAACCATAAAAATTACGTAAAATTTGTAGAAGTTACAGACATTTTTTATTTTTGACGTTGGGCGCCAATTTGTCAAAAACCCAAAATATTATTTTTAACGTTAATTTAAGCACATGATTGGAAAGATCGTCATATTTTCAGTGTACTTTCCAAAAATCATAAAAATAAAATAAAATTTGTAGAAGTTACAGACATCTTAAATTTTTGACGTAAGGGCGCCAATTTGTCAAAAACCTAAAATATTCATTTTAACGTTAATCTAAACCCATCCCTGGAAATATGATGCATAAATAATTTTAAAAATCAATGATAAAAATGAAAAGATTGTAAAATGTTTAGTACACCTCACAAAAATCATAAAAATAACAGAATATATAGTTTTTGAAGTTGGGCGCCAATATGTCAAAAACCTAAAATGTCAGATTTAACGTTAATCCAAACCCACCACTGGAAACATCGTTATATTTTTAGCACAATTTCCAAAAATCATAAAATTAACATAAAATTTGTAGAAGTTACAGACATTTTAAATTTTTGACGTTGGGCGCCAATTTGTCAAAAACCTAAAATATCCATTTTAACGCTAATCTAAACCAACCACTGGAAACATCGTTATATTTTTAGTAAAGTTTCCAAAAATCATAAAAATAACATAAAATTTATAGAAGTTACAAACATTCGTAATCGTTGAGCGCCAACTAGTCAAAAACCTTAAATATCAATTTTATCGTTAATTGGAAAGATCGTCATATTTTTAGTAAACTTTCCAAAAATCATACAAATAACATAAAATTTGTAGAAGTTGGACATTTTAAATTTTTGACGTGGGCGCCAATTTGTCAAAAACCTAAAATATCCATTTTAACGTTAATCTAAACCCACCACTGGAAATTTCTTCATATTTTTATTACACTTTCCAAAAATCATAAAAATAACATAAAATTTGTAGAAGTTAGACATTTTTAATTTTTGACGTAAGGGCGCCAATTTGTCAAAAACCTAAAATATCCATTTTAACGTTAATTTAAACCCACCACTGGAAATATCGCCATAATTTTAGTACACTTTCCAAAAATCATAAAAATAACATAAAATTTGTAGAAGTTACAGACATTTTTAATTCTTGACGTAAGGGCGCCAATTTTTCAAAAATGCAACATGTCAATTTTAACGTAAATCTACAACACTGGAAATATCGTTTTATTTTTAGTAAACTTTCCAAAAGTCATAAAAATAACATAAAATTTATAGAAGTTACAGAGATTTTAAATTTTTGACGTGGAGCGCCAATTTGTCAAAAACCCAAAATATCCATTTTAACGTTAATCTAAGCCCACCACTGGAAATATCGTCATATTTTTTGTAAATTTTTCAAAAATCATAAAAATAACATAACATTTGTAAAAGTTACAGACATTTTTAATTTTTGACATAAGGGCGCCAATTTGTCAAAAAACTAAAATATCCATTTCAACGTTAATCCAAACCCACCACTGGAAAGATCGTCATATTTTTAGTATAATTTCCAAAAATCATAAACATAACATAAAATTTGTAGAAGTTACAGACATTTAAATCCTTGACGTTGGGCGCCAACTTGTCAAAAACCTAAAATATCCATTTTAACGTTAATCCAAATCCACCACTAGAAAGATCGCCATAATTTTAGTATACTTTTCAAAATTCATAAAAATGACATAAAATTTGTAGAAGTTACAGACATTTTTAATTTTTGACGTTGGGCGCCAATTTGTCAAAAACCCAAAATATCGATTTTAACGTTAATTTAAGCAAACCATTGGAAACATCATAAAAATAACATAAAACTTGTAGAATATCAATTCTATTACTTACCTAAAGGTACATCACTGTGAACTTCATAAGTTCCATACATAAATCCAATTCTCTGTAGACCCGTGGTGCGCCAATAATTCAAAAACTTCTCCACCAAATTGGTATTTTCAAATGCAACGTTATCGACATGACGATAAACCTACGAAAAAACAAAATAACAAAACATTCGACCAAAAAAATCAATCACATACTTGTTGATTGAGTGTGATAGCATTCGGCTGACATTTGGAGCAGATGCCTCTGGGCCATGGAGGATGATCTTTGCACCCCTCTTTAATTCTGCAAGAGATATCGTCCAGAGCCAAAAATTTGCCCCTATCGACCCCAGAAGTTTGCTTTTTGATGTACGAGTGAAACGAGAGGTGCTTGATGTTGTGCTCGCGCAAATAGGCCTCGTCGTAGGGCTCCAACGGGGAACAGTGAACACATCTGGAGTTTGCGTTATGACGACACCTAAATCAATCTTTCTAAATATCTGTGCCAGTTGCATTTTTAAATGTGTTTTGACTAACTAAAATATGCTTTTAACTCTCTTTATTTTTAATTGTTAAATATTAAAAACGCACTTTGACGTTATTTTGGAATACATATTATTTAAAAATGTTTTTTGAGATTCTTAAATAATCCTTGGCATTCTAAAATATACCTACTTTTAACACTCTAAAAGGTATTTTTGACGTTCTATGAAAATAAAATGTGCTTTCAACATTCTATGATAAATTTTTAACATTCTAAAATGTGTTTTTGACATTCTTACAAAAAATTAAGTTAAACATTCAAAATGCATTTTTGAAGTTAATAAAATGTGTTTTTAAGAATGTCAAAAACACATTTTAGAATGTTAAAAAACTCATTATAGAATGTTGAAAGCACATTTCCGAACGTCAAGAAAAAAATCCAAAAAACACATTTTATTCTATAACACGAAATGGCTTTTGGAATTTTAAAGAAATTATTCTTAACATTCTAAAATGTGTTTTAAACATTCTAAAATTTGTTTTTGACATTCTTAAAAAAATATCGTAATTTTTAATTATATAAAATAAAATGTATATTTAAGAATATCAAAAAACATTTTAGAATGTTAAAAAACTCATTATAGAATGTCAAGAGAAAAATTTAAAAAACACATTTTATTCCAGAACACGTCAAAAATGCCTTTTAGAATTTTAAAGAAATAATTCTTAACATTCTAAAATGTGCTTTAAACATTCTATGATGAGTTTTTAACATCCTAAAATTTGTTTTTGACATTCTTAAAAAATTTCGTAATTTTTAATTGTATAAAACACGGCCATTTCAAGCGGATGGACGGGACAAATCGCAAAACTGATTTTATTTAAAAAATTGTAGGTAATTTATTATATATTATTTTGCATCAAAATTGTCAAATATATTCTTCTATTATTAGGCTATACATTAAATAAAAAAAATCGCAAAAAATATTTTATAAAAGTAGAGATAATTTCAATAATTGACAGGGGTGGACGGGACAAGATAAATCTTTTTTTTGTCCCATCCATCGCTTTCAATTATTAAAATTATATCTACTTTCATAACATATTTCTTGCGTTTTTTTTTTATTTAATGTATAACCTAATAAAAGAAGAATATTTTTGACAATTTTGATGCCAAAATATTATATAATAAATAATCTACAATTTTTTTTATAAAAACAGTTTTGTAATTCGTGCGTTTCGCGCGCTTGAAATGGCCGAACAGTTCTTTTTAAAAAAAATGTATATTTAAGAATATCAAAAAACATTTTAGAATGTTAAAAAACAGATTATAGAATGTTGAAAGCACATTTTAGAATGCCAAGAAAAAAAATCCAAAACACATTTTATTCTATGTGCCCTTTGGAATTTAAAAAAAATTATTCTTAACATTCTAAAATGTGTTTTAAACATTCTATGATGAGTTTTTAACATTCTAATTTTTTTTGACATTCTTAAAAAAATATCGTTATTTTTAATTGTATAAAACAGTTCTTTTAAAATAAAATATGTTTTTAAGCATGTCAAAAAACATTTTAGAATGTTAAAAACACATTTTAGAACGTTAAAAACTCATTATAGAATGTTAAAAGCACATTTTAGAATGTCAAGGAAAAAAATCCAAAAAACACATTTTATTCCAGAACACGCCAAAAATGCCTTTAATTTTAAAGAAAATATTCTTAACATTATAAAATGTGCTTTAAACATTCTATGATGAGTTTTTAACATTCTAAAAATTTTTTTTGACATTCTTTTCATTGTCATTTTTAATTGTATAAAACAGTTCTTTAAAATAAAATTTGTTTTTAAGAATGTCAAAAAAAATGTAGAATGTAAAAAACTCATTATAGAATGTTGAAAGCACATTTTAGAATGTCAAGGAAAAAAATCCAAAAAACACATTTTATTTCAGAACACATCAAAAATGCCTTTTAGAATTTTAAAGAAAATATTCCTAACATTCTAAAATGTGCTTTAAACATTCTATGATGAGCTTTTAACATTCTAATCTTTAATTGTATAAAACATTTCTATTAAAATAAAATGTATATTTAAGAATATCAAAAAACATTCAAAATTGCCTTTTAGAATTTTAAAGAAATAATTCTTAACATTCTAAAACGTGCTTTAAACATTCTATGATGAGTTTTTAACATTCTAAAATGTGTTTTAATATTCTAAAAGGTAATTTGACATTCCAACACATAGTTTTTAACATTTAAAACATTCTGAATATGTTTTTGACATTTGTTTAACTATTCTTAAATGTGTAACTATAAAAACATGCAACTTACAGTTTGTCGTCTCTTTCCCTCTCAACCTTTCCATCAAGTTTATATAACTGAACATCAACATCATCTTCCTTAACAGCAATGGAACTTCTCACTGCAGCTCTGCTAGAATTTGGTCTAGAACCTGAAAAACCTGAACTGGTTGAAGGTACAGGCTCTTCGAGTGGTTCCCCGTGCTGATTATTATTAGACTAAAACCATTAAATAAATCAGTAACAAAGAATGTAGGAGTAAACTTGAGATATCTCACCGAGCTACTTACAGTACTAGGAAACAATGTAGACCCATCATTGGAAGCCAAATAAATCATGTCGCCATGTCGGAGCCCTGCATTACGCACTGTGTTAGTTTTACTGCTGACCACTTCACTTTTCTTGTTCTTTTCTTTGAACAAAGAAAATGTGTAACTGTTCAGTTCGAACAGCTCATAAATGCTCTCATATAGGCGGCAAGTGGTCGCTGATTGGCTTATTTCCAGTCGCTTTGTACCCTCTGAGGATTGAACTCTTAAAAGCTACAACAGAATTAAAAATAAACCTTTGTCATCCAATAGGATATTTTAGGTTAGAATATCAAAACTTCCACTTTGCCTGGATTATATTCAAATTGTAGGTTCAGTAACGGTTAATATGAATAATATAATGATAACAAAATGTATCTTACAATTCCTTTATCCTTAGACATCTTAATTATTCCCCAAATATTATTTTTGCAGCTTCGTCAGAATAATTTTAAGTTAAGTGTCAAATTTGCAAGTTGCCAATATGAAAAAATAACAACTCAAATGTCACTAAATAAATTCAATTTTTTACGTTTATTTTAAATATATAATATATTATACTAATAATATATTATACTAATTATTATAGTATTAAAGTATTTTTACTCATATACTTTAATTCGTTTAACACGGCAATATTCTGTCAATCAACTATAGCTTTGGAAGTCTGACAGATCTAATATTTATCAATTTTGACAAGTCATTATATAGGTATAATGATTATAATTATTATTATTTATTATTATAATAACCGGTTATTATGTCATCCAACACTAGTTTTTTGTATAAAATTTGTTATCTGCACAATTTGAAAATTTAAATTGAATTGAATTCATTTAGCTTGTAACAATAAAAAATACAAAACTATTTTTAAGACGCAACTAAACCATTTATTTAAATTTGAAGTCGATTTTGGCAACTTTGCTGTTATTATGCTTCAATGTGACAACGTTGCTTTTACCTTTTTCCAAATAAGAGCCGTTTCACATGCGACTGATAAAGTCCTGACGATCAGTCCTGATGATACGGACTGACGGTCATGACCATTGTTTCACAAGCAACGTATAGTACGCAAATGTCTACTACCGGTATGTTTATTTCATATTTAAATATAATTAATATTTTGATATTTTTCTTTCTATTTTTGTCTATAAATTATTTGTGTCAATGTTATTTTTGTTCCTGTTTTTTATTGGTTTACGTGTTGTAAATAAAATAATTTTAATTTAATGCTATTTTAATTTTTTTAAACATGATATCTACGAAAGATCCTACTTTGTAATTCAATCGGTGAGATTAAGAACAGTACAAGTGCAAAATATTTATTTTTACAAATTATTTTCTAAAATTAATTTCAAAGTTTAAAATGAATTTTTGTGAGAAGATTTATATTATTTTATAAAATATTATTATTATGTTTTATAAAGTATTAATACTAAATTTAGTTGAAATATTTTCACAAAAATGGTTTTTGAACTATAAAACTGACTTTATAAAATAATTTGTCAAATTTTTTGGACTTGTACGGTTCTTAATCTCACCGATTCATTTGTAGCAAACAAAAATTAAATATACCGCGCAAAATTTTTTTAGCATTAGTTCTCGCAGCCCCCGGCGAGGGCGCCACATTTATTGTTTCCAATGTTTATATGGGAATCGTTCGTCTCTCTCTCCCTTGTCTCTGGTTCTCAGCGCCTCCGGAACTGCGCTGTTGCCGCTTTTTGTATAAAGAGAATAATACAACGCAAAAAAGTTCTTCTTTGCTTTCGCAAAATTTTCAAAATCCGGAACTACTATTTACGCTACTTCTTCAAATGCTTTGTTCTTTGCATCCCTATTTTTGTAGTTCTCATTATCTGCATACCAGATGCATCTTCGCTGTTCGATGCTATTTATTACAATTTCAGTATCAATGCGTAAACTACTCATTGTGCAACACTGTTTCTGCTGACCGTACGTACCATATGAAATACTCCATATAATTAACAGCCCTTAATAGTCCTGACGGTACGCAGTGCGCACGGGCTGTCCCGATGCCCGTGCCGAGGAATCAGTCAACCGATGATACGCAGTGCATGTGAAAAAGTTCATTTAAACAATGGCCCCTAGTCATCAGGACTGACCATCAGGACTGATCGTCAGGACTTTATCAGTCGCATGTGAAACGGCTCTAAGGCGAATTTGACAACAGTAACATACATCAAGTGGGCCTGGAAAACTGAGACGTTTGTAAACAAACCAAAGTATTGGTGGAATAAAGCACGTGATTTTTTCTTTGTTGTGATTGGTTGTTTACAAACGCGTCCGTTTGTAATTTCAATTTTGCAAATGGCTGAAAACGCTGTAAAGTGCGGTGTATGATTTGTTATATACAAATTTTACTTGTTAGGTAAGTAAAAATGTTAATTTCTGCTTATACATTATGTGTATTTAGACAGATTTAAGTTCATTTTAGTATCACTACCGCGTTTTAACCCATTTATTCCCAACGTTGTTGTTTTCTCAAATAGGTATACCTATAGGTACCTACACAGCAAACGGAAAATTATAGAGGTGTATAGGATGACGCCACGTTTGAATATCGATTTCTAAATCTCCCTACGGTATAGAGTTGTATTCGTCAGTCGAGCGTTTCAATACTCTCCACAGTATAGAGGTCGTAATTTCACTTTTGAACTAGTATTAATATAAAAATTATTTTATGCTTAAAAAAACTATACTTTTAAGTGCATTCTATAGAAATATATTTTTGTTTCAAAATCAACAAAATATCATTTGTCATAAACGGTATATTTTTAATTTAATAAATACCTATAGGTAAATATAATTTTATTTAAACTTGTTTATGAAATAAACCAAGTTTTAGTTTCTACTTTTAGCAATATATATTGCCTATACTACCCTACTATGGAGAAAGGTAGTACCAGTGTTGTAACAGTTACAATATTTTCAGTATCTAGCTACAGTTACAGTTACTTACCAAAATTTGTAACTAGATACAGATACAGATACATATTTTATTGCAGTAACTAGTTACAAATACAGTTACCTTCAAAAAGTATCTAGATACTTTAAGATACATACAAATTATTTTTTGCTTTAAAAAATTTAAAATAGAAATAAAAGGAAATTTTAAAGTGACAACAAAAATATACATGTTTATTATTTTTATTTTTTTTATAATATTTTATTTAAAATAACTTATTTTTTATAATATTTTTTTTTTAATAAATAATAGTCGCAGTTTAATTAAAAATGTATCTTTGTATCTTATGTGTGTTATAACACACCTACTTACTTAGAATTTGTAACTAGTTACAGTTGTAGTTACTAGATTGGGATAAGTAACTAGTTACACAAACAGATACATAAAAAGTATCTAGATACTGTATCTAGTTACTTGTAACTAGATACGTTACAACACTGGGTAGTACCTAACTACAAAAAATTCTAAATGCGTTTTCTTGTGTTGGGCAGTATGGGCGTTACGCGTCTACTCCAATAAGTGGATGAGAGAATTACCTACCTTTTCTTCTTGATTAAAAATTTGATTCTGAAACTGCAAATTTGTTATTGTGTTTAGTTTAAAAAGGGGAAAATTTGTTGTTAATAATACGCCTTTAACTGCAAAATATATTTATTATTATATTAATAAAATGTGTTTTTATTATTTATTCCTATAATATATATTATACCTACATACATGAGGATATTGGAGGTTTAGGTTTCTAAAAAATAAGTATCTACCTATAACTTTTTAGACATAAGATACAATAAATTTGTTTTAAATTCGAGGTTAGGGGCCATATTTCGTTATTGCGCTTTTGTGATATGCTTTAAGGTGACTGCATATTAGACTGGTACAAGAATATCTTCCTTTTAGTAAACTTTTGTCGCAATGTGAACATATGTATTTTTTCATTGCAAGGGATCGCCATGTTTGTTTTGAACGTGTCTTTTTAAATAACAACTTTTTGCGAACTCTTTTGGACAATTAGGACAAGTGAATTTATAATCGCTGTGTTTTATTTTAAGGTGCGAACATAAATGGCTTTTTTTTAAGAAGTTTTCGTCACAATGTGGACATTTGTGTCCTTGTTTTACGTCATGTATGATTTTAAGATGATTATCCAAGAGTCTCTTTTCAGAGTACATTTTTGGGCAATGTGGGCAAGAGAATTTAAATCCTTCATGTATAAATTTAATGTGGATCTTTAGACTGTGAATAGTTGAATATGTTTTGTTGCATTCTGAGCAGTTATATTTTTTTCTTTGCAAGGGATCGCCATGTTGACTCTCAACGTGCTGATTTAATAGAAATATTTTACTATACACCTTCTGGCAATGTGGACACTTGTGTTTAAAACCTTTGTGTTTATCTTTAATGTGTTGGGTTAAAGAGTCTTTGTCTTTGAATTTATTGTCACATTTAGGACATTTGTGCTCTTTCAGATTGCAATGTTTTTTAAGGTGCTCGTTCAACCTAAATTTTGTCGAGAACGATTTGGGGCAATGCGGGCAATCGAACTTAAAGCCTTCGTGTATTGCCCTGATGTGCGCGTTTCTTGAACACACATTCGCAAATATTTTATCGCAATGTGGACACGTGCTTTTTATTTGTGTCGAGTCGCTGTGATGGTATATAACGTGGCGATTTAAATTAGTTTTGCTTGAGTACGACTTTGGACAATGTGTACATTTGTATTTATTTCTTTGTAGGGGACCGTCATGAGGGATTTGAACGTGTAGTTTTATATAATCTCTTGTCGCGAAAACTTTTGTGCAATGTAAACATTTGTATTTAATTCTTTGTCGGGGATCGCCGTGCAGACTTTCAACGTATTTAACGTATTTAAAATCGCTGTGTTTTATTTTAATATGCTGGCCTAAATTTCTTCTTGTTAGAAAACTTTTATCGCAATGTGAACATTCGTATTTTTTTATTTGCAGGGGATCGCCATGTTGATTTTGAACGTGGCTCTTTAAATAATAACTTTTTGCGAACTCTTTTGGGCAATTAGGACAAGTGAATTTAGAACCGCTGTGTTTTATTTTAAGGTGCGAACATAAATGGCTTTTTTTTAAGAAGTTTTCGTCACAATGTGGACATTTGTGTTCTTGTTTTACGTCATGTATGATTTTAAGATGATGATCCAAAAGTCTCTTTACTGTGTACTTTTTTGAGCAATGTGGGCAAGAGAATTTAAATCCTTCATGTACAGATTTAATGTGGACCTTTAGAGTGACAATAGTTGAAAATGTTTTGTTGCATTGTGGACAGTTGTATTTTTTTCTTTGCAAGGGATCGCCATGTTGGCTTTTAACGTGCTGATTTAAATTACCTATTATATTATACACCTTCTGGCAATGTGGACACTTGTGTTTATAACCTTTGTGTTTATATTTAATGTGATGGGTTAAAGA